TGTCGTGACAATTGTTCTGTTTACATTATCGTAAAGGTGAAGGTGTTAAATAAAATAAGAGTCTGTGAATTTAAAAGGTGAAATAAAAGTGATTATATTTTAAAAAGAGTAACAGAGTGTCGGAGTTATTTAAAACAAGTATAGTCCCGTTCCCCCGCGGAGTCGGATCCTCGTATTGTGCCCATCAACCAACCCCCGGGCACAACAATATGCTGTTTTATATCTTTGTTCTTTCTTTATCAGAATAATTTTTTGATTTTTGATTTTGATCTAATAGTAAAAAATTTTCAGAATTAAAGTTATAGAGTGCCAAGTTTGAAAAAAGAACATTTGCGATATTTTTATGAATTTAATCAAAAATTCAAAACTGCAGAGATCACCCGAAATATTCATGCTATTTACTGAGAATATTTTATTGCTTAAAGAAAAAGAGAAGATCTTGCAATGTCTTGTGTCTTTTTTTAATTTGGCAGTTTATAATTTTGATTCTGAAAACTTTTTACCATTTAAATAAAATAAAAATCAATATTATTTTAATAGAGCAAAAAACAAAAATAAAACATCATATTACATATAGCCAATATGCAATTTTTGTTAGAAAAAATTCTCGAACAATGAAAATTATCACGAAATAATGTTTTAACCTAATACATATCCTAATATCTTTTGATGCATAATATGCTACAAACTTATGGCCTTGATTACAAAATTTGCATAAAAAAATGTTAATTTACTCGAATCGATTGAAGTACTATCTTATCGTCGTCCTTCGGTGGAACAAAATTTGCATTCCCTGCATACTCCAAGAATTCTTCATTGTGAAACACATCTTCCAAATTTGATGTATCATCATTAGCTGCAACATCAAACAAGCTTCGTTTTTCATTTCCAGCTGAACTGTTGGAACTGTCTGATATTGACGCAGTATCAGAGTCAACTCTATTAACTTCAGAGATGTTATCTATAGTCATATCCTATATAACAAAATACAAATTGCGTTGTCAAAAATGTTAGTAAAAATATTGAGTTTTAAAAGTGTTCTGAAATTCATTATTAGTATTTACAAAGAGGTATTCTACTTTCAAGAACAAAATAACTTTTTCAGTGTCAAAATTTCAAGATCAATTAGGCAAAGCTCAATCAGATTTTTATCTTGATTCGGCCGGAGTGGAAGCCTAAAAGAGTGGAAAGCTCTTTTGTGCCTAGCAACTTTGATTTAGAGACTAAGTTTTGTTAAGTTCAACCTTCGGATACTATCAGGATATCAAAGGTTTTCGCGATTTCTTAATTAGAGATAATTAACTGCGACAAAGTTGTGCCGCATTCGTGAAATGAAACATTAGTGAGATATGTGCCTTATGCATAGTAAATTTGTTTATCGGTACAATTTGAACCTTATAAAATACGAGTACATTAAGTTAGAAAATATTATCGGCGTACTGAATCAGTAGAACATTGTTCTCATAGTATATACACTATTTAATTTTATTTTTGATTTCTAACAAATGTTTGTGTCCATTATATTGTTATAAGATTTACATACACGTGTATGTATTGCACTTTTTATTTCACTCAATCCCGTTATTTAAAAAATTTAAGTAATTTATTGAAAATTAAATTAATCCTACATATATTCAAATGATTTTATGCCAACAATCAAATGATATTGTTACGTCCAGGGCGGTGAATCTCGCGTTCACGCACTCGCTCGCGTAACGTTCGCGCTTCCGCACTCGCGTTCGCGCACGCGCACCGGAAGGTCGCGGAGAAATAAGAAGAAACACCAATTAAGAACACAAGGAACACTCTTTATTCTAGTAACTGTGAACAAACTACGCAGCGGATAGACAGAACAGAACAAAGCACGTCCGCACGGCACGACGGCTTGTCTCAAAATCTAATATGTCGCCAGTTTGACAGACGACAACGCGTCGTCAGGGAAACATCCGACAGCTGGACCGGCTCGCTGATACAT